ATTGGTTTAGTTGTTGTGTTTTCATTCTTTGTATCTATTCTTCACATTTTGTTAAGCAAACCAGTTGTGTATATAGAGTAGATTGCATATTGCAGTACGAATTCAAAATGGTTTCGAAAACCTAAACTCACCACCTGAAAAAAAATAGTCTCATATATAAACTCTGCCTCTGAAATTCTGCCTTGCTTGTAGCAGTGTTCCAGCTCTCATTCAGACCTTTGTGGCTATATTCTTCTCCTTCGACTCGTTAAGTTATTCTGTCTGACGCTAGACGATAATGACCATATTTTCACAATGGTATTAAAAGGGAATGGACGAGAAAAAGGTTTTCAAGATCGCGGCTATTTTTAAAGCACTAAAGAATCAACAACCATGCACTCATATAACAATCCTAAACCTTACCCCAAACCTAACCCTAACATTAACCCTAAACTAAAGTGAGCTCTGAGTTTAAATTTTGAACTTTCTTGAAAACTTCTTTCTCGTCCATCCCTTTTAGCTATTACCTTATATACCATTAATAAAGTTGGTCGCCAGGGGAGTGTACAGTAGTGATCTTTAGTTATCAAGGGGGTTGTTTTCAGTGGACTAGTGCGTACATTAATTTAGTATAAACTATATATATACAGAACATATTGTTCACATGTTAATTTGTAGTGAATGGTATTTTTTGCAGGTTTAGTGACTATATTCGTCACATATTGTGTATTTTATGGAAATATTTGGGGAAAAACAATAAAAATATTTTCAAAAACTTGTCTAAGTTTTATGTTATATAATTATGTTACCTGCCTATTGTTTTTGTAACTTAGTTGCGCAAACAAATATGAAGCATTTAACATATTGGCGTACGTGAATGGAAAGAATACTTGATATAATGCCTAGTGTATTTGATTCCTGAACAAATAAAGAGCATGTGTTTAGTGTATATTTTGTTTTAAAATAAAAACAGAACAAAGTATATTTAATTATTTTTAAATTATGTAATTGTCTTAATACTTGATTTTAATCCAATATAAGCCAAATTAAGATGATTTGTGTCTGTACTGCTTGCGAAAGATTAAAAAATAAAAAATGTTTCGAACAAAAACCTGACGAAGAAGATTTCAGTCTATTTATAGGTAGTTCGAATATTGTTTTAAAATTTATGGCCAATTATAGCTATAGGTCGAATTGCAGCGCAATTTATGCAAAAAGTTCAACTGCTCACGCCAGATCCTGGGCTCTAATCCATGAACACTAACGCGAATTCCAAGAATTTTTTCGTATTCAATTTACAAACCTTTGCACAGAGCGAGGGAAACTACGACATGCCACTCTGATGCCATGATGTCCACGTAAGTGTCAGTTACGGTTTTGCAACGGTTTGGTTGATCTAATGAGTAATACAGGTTTTGACTTGTTTTTTATGATAATTTTAGAATCAATTCGACGCCGGCAAATAAACCTATTGGTGTAACATCGGCAATTAGCACTGCTGGACCCAAACCGGAGGTAGTTTTAAAGGCAAAAGCTGTGTTTTTATAACAATGAAAGTTGTATGTTTGTTGGTTATGTAAATGGTGTAAATATTGGCTGTAATTTTGGCGCTAAGACGGCTAAGTCAAGTACATTGTTTTTTAGGATATAAAACAGACGGAGAACATTAAAAATGTTTTGAAGGAATATGGTGTGTTTGAGAGTGAGGAGGAGTTACAACACAGGTTTGTTGGACCCTTTAGTGAGGTTTAAAATGATTGGTATAGCTTGTTGTTTGGTATTGGCCATTTGCCAAGTCCAGGGTAAACTAGCATATACCTGCCTCGTCCCCAGGCGCAAATAAAAAAAATTTCATGCGAGTCACTATATGAAAGGTTTACATGAAGTAGTGCGTCAGAGCATATACCTTAAAACTGTGGCAATTGATACACCAGGCGGAAATCTTAGTTTAAAGATAAAGAGCAAAGCCCAGCAAATAACTTTAAAACCAAACATAATAAAATTAAAAATTTAATTAGCTAACGTTTCGTTGTTTACAATACAACATCTTCAGAGCAATCTAAATGAATTTACAGGGTATATATATTTACAAAATAATGGTTTACTATTACAAAAACGGTTACATAATTTGAAAGAACAAATGAATAGAAAGAAAGGAAAACAACTTATCAGTAACAAGTTAATAAGTAAAGATTAATGTTTAAGGGAGTGGTCATTATTTATGGGGAGGGGGGTTGGGAAATGGGAGGGGGGGGGCAAATGAAGTTTTACCCTTATAAATAGGGGGGGGTCAAAAAAGTTTTAACACAGAGAAAGGGGAGGGGTCATAAAAGTTTTTGATTTCTATAATCACAAATAGCAAAAAAGAAGACTCTGAAAATGCTATTTCCAACGATCTAGAGACTCAAAATGTTCAAAATTTCCCTGCTCGGCGCCAACCATGGTGGCACCGAGCGACCGTTGAGCCCACTAAGTTTAACAAGCTTTCTACTTCCTGAGTGACCCAGTTGTGGTATTTACATAAACATACCATGCAAGTACACTTAACTGATCAGATTCGGTCTATCAACGCACAATGTAACGCTGTATATCCAAAAATCTGTTTCAGAAAATGCTCACATTTCAGTTCTAGGGGTGGAAAAATACAAAACATTTTCTGGGGGAGAATACCCCCAGACCCCCCTACTAGTACATATGATACCACACCAAACTTTTTGTCACCAACAACCATCTGTCATCTTTCCACACTCAATATAGTATGGTCCCTTTTTGTAGATGCCCACCCCCCAGACAAGTTCTTAAAAAAAACCTGTGTTCAAATCATTTCGCTGTATGAAGACGGGTCATGGGTTAGGGTTATGGTAGGACAAATGTTGCATTGCAAAGTAGTAACACATAATATATATTTTTTAATCATATATGGTTGAATCATATTCACCAGGGTAAAACATCATATATATATATATATATATATATATATATATATATATATATATATATATATATATATATATATATATATATATATATATATATATATATATGCAAAATAATGGTTTAATATTACAAAAACGATTACATAGTTTGAAAGAACAAATGAATAGAAAGAAAGGAAAACAACTTATCAGTAACTAGTCATTAAGTAAAGATTAATGCTGAGTGCATGGTTAGTATATTTAAGATTAATATTACATAACTAAAATAACTCAAGTAGGGTAGATCTAATATAAGCAATAAGAACAGGGTTAAGTTGAGAAATTATTAATAGGCTTTCACGGATAAGAAGATCCCACTCAGAAGTGCCTGATGATAGGATTTTGTGCATGTGTTTGTTAGTGAGTATACTAGACATGGTTGGGATAGGGCGTTCTTTTCCAGTCAAAGGGGAGACTTCCGTATGCTCTGAGATACGTGTGTAAATGTGTCGGCGTGTTTGGCCAACATACAATGCGCTACGGTATTGACACGTGATCTGATACACAACATGTGATCTCAGGGCAATAATGGGAATCCTGTCTTTAAATGGAAAGAATCTAGAAAGGCGACAAGAGGGACGAAAAACGACACGTATGGAAATATGTGGATAAGCAGAAGCCAGATCTTTACTAAGTTGTGAACGGATATGTAGAGAATGATGTCCAGTGAAAGGAAGGCAAAAGTTAACAATTTTCTTTGAACATGTGCAGACCTTGTCCTTGGTGTTATAAATTCTGTCATGAAATGTCTTATGCAACTATCTATAAGTGCTTTAGGATAACCATTGGAAGAAAGGTTCATTCACGACCTCTGTCAATCATAAATGCACTTCAACTGGCTTATTCACAAGCTTTGATAGCTTTATTCCAATGATGTACAAAAAAGTCTCCTTTTCTTTCTTATATCTCGATATTTCAATATTTGTTCTTCTTACATATATTTCCAGTCTGAAATGGAAAATTTTAAGAAAACCTTTTCTTCCAATGGTTATCCTAAATAGTTGCATTAAGACATTTCTTGACAGGACTTATAACACCAAGGACAAGGTCCATACATGTTACAAGAGAATTGCTTACTTTTGCCTTCCTTTCACTGGACATCATGGTCTACATATCCGTTCACAATTTAGTAAAGTTCTTGTTTCTGCTTATCCTCATATTTCCATACGTGTTGTTTTCCGTCCCTCTTGTCGCCTTTCTAGTTTCTTTTCATTTAAAGACAGGAATGTTGTTTATCAGTTCACGTGACAGTGCTGTAGCGCATTGTATGTTGGCCAAACACGCCGACACATCCACACACGTATCTCAGAGCATATGGGAGTCCCACCTTTGAATGGAAAAGAAAGCTCTATCTCAACCATGTCTATAGTACACTCGCTTACAAACACATGCACAAACACCCAGTCTCCGCTTCTGATTTCAAAATCCTATCATCAGGCACTTCTGAGTGGGATCTTCCTATCCGTGAAAGCCCATGCATTAATTTCTCAACTTAATCCTGTCCTTAATGCTAATAGGCTATTAGATCTACCCTTCTTGAGTTATTTTAGTTAATGTAATATTAATCTTAACTATACTAACCATGCACTTAGCGTTAATCTTTACTTATTAACTAGTTACTGATAAGTTGTTTTCCTTTCTTGCTATTCATTTGTTCTTTCAAGCTATGTAGCCGTTTTTGTAATAATAAACCATTATTTTGTAAATATATATACCATACCCTGTAAATTCATTTAGATTGCTCTGAAGATGTTGTATTGTAAACAACGAAACGTTAGCTAATAAATGTTTTATTTTTATTATGTTTGGCTCTAAAGTTATTTGCTGGGCTCTGCTTTTTATCTTTAAGCTAAGATTTCCGCCTGGTGTATCAATTGCCACAGTTTTAAATATATTGTGTTTAATTTGAATGTTTAGCATGCAATTTATTACAAATTCCCCCATTAAAACTTTGTTTTGAGAAGCTGAGAATTTTTAGAGCGTTTTCTCAGAATGTATGAAATGCCATTTCAGAGACCCAAATTTTAAAAATTTCCTGGGAGGCACGCCTCCAGATCCCCCTAGCTAACTCGTGCCTGCGTTACTCGGCTCACACCTTCGGCGATCTTATACTATCCTGGGGGGAGGGCAAGAAAAGTGGGCCCTTTCGCAATTTTGCCCCACCACTGAAGAATCCTTAAAAAATGCACTGTCTGTCTCGGCTGCGCCTCGCCATTGTTCATGGCACTTGTATTTAGAAACCACGTCTAAATCACTAACTCAGATTTGAAATATTACTTACAATCTTAGCAAATTTCTAAAAGTTTGTGTGAAATAGCATGGAAATTTCTCACACTTTGTATTAATGAACTTTTTCGTACCTTCAGACTTTAACTAAAAAAGCCACTTCTCAGTATAGCATTTCCTAGTAGACTCTTAGAAATTCTTGATCGCATTCGTTAATACTTAAAATTTTTATTCCGTTTTCAATTACATTTGTCCCAAAACCAACTGTGTATAGTTGGGTAAATATCAATTTCGCGTTTTAAATGAAATACATGTATTGTAATGATATTTCACAGTGTAATTACACAGTGTGATAAAGGGTATATGATTATTTATATACTTGTGATAGCATATACAGTAGCCTTCGTCCCATTTTTGCCTTTTGTACAGCATATGGGTTGTGTTAATTTAAGCCACGTTGTTGTTGTTCCTGCTAGTTTAAGAAATATATTTTGTATGTATAAATCATGTCCGCTCGCTACATGCGTGGTGTCAGGCCGAAAGAAACTAGAGTATAACATGGCTTATCGAACAGTATAGGACACCGCCCGAACCACTTAATATTGAAGACAGAGCTCATTGTGGAGAGAACTGGAAGAATTTTAAGAGAGAATGGTCGTATTACGAAATAGCGGCGGGAATAGCAACAAAAACAGAAAAGATTAGAGTCGCTGCCTTACTTATTGTCATTGGAAGAGATGCCCTTGACATGTATGAGACTTTTTAGTGGGATTAAGATTGCAAAAGTTTTAAAGAAGTTCGAAGAGCGTTGTGCGCCTGCAAGAAACGAAATATTCGAGCGCTACAATTTTTTAAGCGGAACAAAGACAAAGGCGAATGGATATATAACAATATTACTGAAGCTGCCGAAGACGTGTGCATTCGGTAACTTGCGAGAATCTCTAGTTCGTGATCGACTTGTTTACGGAATTCAGGATGACCATGTTCGAGAAAAATTACTCAGAAAACGTGATCTAGACTTAGATAAATGCATCGATATATATTGAAGTAGCGAAGTGACTAATTTTCAAGCAAAATAAACATCGTCGGAAGACGCGCAAACGAATTTTGTGAAGCGAGTAAGACCAAAAGAGATCGAAAAGTCAAACAGCAAAGCAGCCACAAGTTCGATTAAGTCAAAGGTAAAATCAAAGAGTGATACGAGTTATCAGAAAGAGTTTGTGACACCTCAAACCAGGGGCGGAGGTATCATAACAAAAGTTATTGAACCAACTCTGTATGTGTCATCAACGGTCGTTGTTCGTAAGGAGTATGGTAAAGTTCGGATATGCCTCGATCCACGCGATTTGAATGAAGATGTCACTATCCACTGCCTACGATAAAAGAAGTTAGGACAAGATTGCCCAAAGCTAAGGTATTCTCAGTGTTGGATGCAAAGTCAAGGTTTTGGAAGTGAAGCTGACGGCATTCAATACACCGTATGGGCGATATTATTGGAAGAGAATGCCATTTGGAATAAATTCTGCACCAGAAGTTTGGCAGAGAAAAACTTATGAATTTATCTAGGGGCTGGACGGTGTTGAGGTTATAATGGATGACTTCCTGGTGATCGGGTTTGGTGATACAATCAACGAAGCGTGAGCAATCATGAGAAGAATGTTGTTGGTTTACTGAACGAGTTCGAGAAAAAAGTTTAACGCTGAATCCAGACAAGATCAAGTTGCATCAACAGGAAGTGCCATTCATTTGTCATTTGTTAATACCTCGAGGCCATATTCCAGATCCAGCCAAAGTGGAAGCCATTCTGAAAATACCATTGCCTACCGATGCGAAATCGCTAAGAATAGCGTTTGGAATGGTTAATTACCTTGCAAAGTTTCTGCCAAATTTATCGTCTTCCTGTGAAATCTTACGACAGTTGGCTCGAAAGGATGTAGAGTGGCACTGGGACGATTGTCAGGAGGCAGCCTGAAACGAGCTGATGAAGAAAATAACCCAAGCTCCAGTTCTTGCATGTGTGATGTGTCGCAAGGTGTGATGCGTCGCAAGGTGTGATGCGTCGCAAGGTTGTCTAGGAGCAGTCTTAACTCAAGAAGGCAAACCAATCCACTGTGCCTCTAGAGCAATGATACAGGCTGAAAAGAACTATGCAAAAGTGGAACGATTTCATCAATATGTATATGGGAGATCGGTTACTGTAGAATCCGTCCATAAACAACTGCAACAAATCGGAAGCATGCCATTTCACGAAGAGATTACTGCGTATGTATTTACGTTTACAAAAGTATGATGTTAAAATCCCTTACAGAAAAGGTTCACAATTGTTCATTGCAGATACCCTATCTCGTGCGTACCTTTCAGAAACTCAAGTTGACCACAACGCTGGAAACAAATTTTGTGCTCAGTTAGAAGAAACCAATTTGGTGGCAGATTTACCAATCTCTAATGAACGGTTGAACGAGCTTAGACTTGCAACAGCTGCGGATCTTGTGCTTCAGAAAGTACGTGAATATGTTGAGAAAGGTTGGTTAACGTCAAAACAATACCCACCACCTGATGTTGTTCCGTATTATTCGCATCAGAGTGAGATCTCGTATCAAAATGGTCTTCTCTTCAAGTCAGGAAGAATTGTAGTTCCACAAACGTTACGAGACGATATGACTAAACGACTGCGTAGCTTCCATCTTGGAGTCGAAGGCTGCTTGAAAAGCGCTCGAGAAATTTTATATTGGCCTAAACTGTCGAGTCAAGTTAAAGAGTTGGTATCGAAATGTTCAGTGTGCAACACTTATCAACCGAAACAGTGCAAAGAACCACTTCTATCTCATGACTTACCTGCTTTGCATTGGTCTAAGATGGGAGTTGTTTTATTTATATATGAAAACAAAAATTAAATGGTAAAAGTTGACTATTTTTCTAAATTTTTTTAAGTAGATTATTTGACCGCTACTACTGCGACGGCAGTTATTAAGAAGTTGAAGGAGTAATTCAGTCGTCACGGGATTCCAGAGACAGTGTTTCCCAATAACGGTCCTCAGCTTATTTGCAAAGAGTTCAGGGAGTTTTCAAATAAGTGGGAGTTTGAGCATTTAACGTCGTCTTTTCGGTATTCCCAATCCAATGGAAAGGTCGAAAATTCAGTGAAAACCTGTAAGTTATTGATGAAGAAGGCGTTTTTGTCGAAAGCTGATGTTCACCTTGCATTGTTGGAGTTTAGGAATACACCCAGTGAACAGGATGGTGTCAGTCCGTCACAAAAATTGCTTTTGAGAAGAACTAGGACTTGCCTTCCAACGACAAAAGATCCGCTGTAACTTGTAACGAAAGTTGTAACTGGTGCTGAACAAACGAAAGAGAAACAGAAAGAAAATTACGATCTCAATGCTCGTGCTTTTATAGTACCATTGGAAGCAGGGGAAATCGTTCGCAGATTGTCTGAAGAGCAGACATGGTCTCTTGGAATCTGTATTTAGCAAGTTGGTCCTCGTTCGTACAAAGTGCGTTGCGGTGAAAGAACCTACAAACGAAATCGGCGTCATATTAGGAAAACCGCGGAAAAGCTTTGAGATTTGGGGAGACCCTCGGACAATGCAGAGTGCCAGACATTTTGTAAGTCGATCGTCTCTACTAGTAATTCAATGATTGGCCCGGAAGATCCAGTATTATTAAGGAGATCAACCTGAGACAGAAAACCAGCGGACAGGTATCAAGCATAAGTAAAACGTATCAAGCATGGGAATTTAGAATCTAATATAATTATATTTGAATTTAGAGCCATTAAATTTAGAGACATTATATAGGGTATATTTATCATTTATAGACCCGGAGCGAGGGGGATTCGGCGTAATATTTCCCGAAGTGATGATATTTTCCGAGGAGCTTTGCGCCGAGGAAAATATCATCACTGAGGGAAATATCGCCGAATCCCCCGAGCAGAGAGTCTATAAATGATATATTATACCGAAAGTTAAAGAACTCGCTAAGTTCAGAATAAACTTTTTTATAAAACTTGCTGAATATTATAAAATACGCGAATATAATTTTTAATTTCTTATGTATACCTGAGTTTTTGACGTTTCCTCTTTAAAATATTTGAGCATGTATCCTTTGGATCATTAAAGGTAACATACGTCTTGAAAATGTTTTGTTAAGTCAAATATTCTGAACGAAAATACGAAATTACAAACAACAGCTCGCGAACGCCATATTTTTTTCAGAGCGTGGTGTCCACGCGTCACGCGTGAGCGTGGGATACTATAATATCCCACGGTGGATCTGCCGTGGGATATTATAGTATCCCACGCTGGATTGCGAAATCGTGAATTTGAGTGAAATACCGTAAAAATCACATTACCACGTGGTACAAATGCTGTTTTTTCATTGGACAATTTGAATTTGAGGTATAATTAATTAACAGTTATTCTACGAACTCGAGTCGAATGGAGTGAGTGGAATAACTGTTTTATTATATACACAAGGTCTGAATTCACAGACTTTGCATTTCGGATATTTTCAATATTTTTCTATTTTGTTTATGTTTTTATCGTCGCTCTTTTGGCCGATTATTTTTTAAAAAATTTATATTTTTAACCATTTTAAATTTTAAAAATTCATTTGCCAATCTGTAAACAATTTGTGGGAGTTTTTTCATTGTGTTTGTAATCTTGTAAAGGCTATAAAAAGCGAACAACTTGCCGTTTTCTCGTTCGCAAAAATCGGAAATTCAGTTTGAGCGGCCATTTTGTTTTTCTCTACTAGTAGGATATGAGCTAATATCCTGCTAGTAGAGAACCAATCAGATTGCAGAATACCTCATATCCAGACCTTGTGTATATAATAATATTAATCAATAAGACAGTCGTAACAGTTAGCTATTAGGTTATTTATCAATTTAAAGTTTGGATAAGCTTTTTCTTTGTTATTAAACGAGAAAGGATGTGACGATATTACCATAAACAGTAATTAGTTATGCATGATAATCACATAAGTAACGTGGGCTGTGTTAAGCCCCGTTTACACGAGCAAATTTTATTTGACAAATTTCATATGTCAAAGATATTTTGCACGTGTAGGTAATACATTTGTGACAAATTTATTGTGACAAATGCATTTGAACAAAAGCTAGCATGCTAGCTTTTGATCAAATGCATTTGTCATATTAAATTTGTCAAATAAAATTTGCTCGTGTACACGGGGCTTTAAGCCACCTTGTTGTTGTTCTTGCTAGTTTAAGAAATCTATTCTGTTCATATAAATCGTGTGCGCTCGCTACAAACTCAGTCTTACGTACCTTCTTGGCTATCGGCTCATATACAAGGTTCGCAGAATAACTGTTGAATAGATCACATACAAATTCCATTATGGATGAAGGTGATGTGCATGTCTGCTCATGTGCTTCTGCTAATATATATTTACTAGTATTTGGTCAAATTTTGCCACATGTCCAAAAACCGGGGACACAAACTAAGATATAAATAATAACGAACTTAAAAGTACTCACAAATTTAAAGTTAAATTTGACCAGATCCGTACGTACAGTAAACACTATGAATATTCCAAACAAACTGACGGTATTTGATTATATCAAGATTATACCCTGCATGAGAACACAGATGAAAGATATAACAATGCTTTATCCCACTACAAAAGATGCTTTACACAGCTGATGAAGGAATACGTTCAAATTGAACAAAAACCCACAGGGAGTAAAAAAGCGGATGTGTTTATTAAAATTACCTTTTCATCAGTCGAACATCAAGCAATCCTTGTTAGATCGGTGGAACATCAAGTAATCCTTGTCAATACACTGTTTGTCTTGTTTTATATTCTTACAACAACCTGCAGTAATTCAGTTTTTCAGTAAACGACGAATAATTGTTTAATTCCCTTATTTCGTACGATATTTTGTGTTCTACTTCGTGTAATATTAAAACAGAACGGCAATAAACCGACAGTTTCCGAATTCGAGACGATTCCGGTTCGGGAAGCAATAGGTGCCGAGATTGACACGAGTAAAATGATAACTAAGGGACGAAACCACTGAGCTACATTGTATTACTGAAGGATGTGCTCGGGATTAAAAAGTGTCGCCAAAAACATGACAGATTATCACCTTTGCTTACGCCAGAATGACGGCATAGTTTCACTCGTTCCGCACGTTGTTGTATGCAATATAACAACAGGGGCCGGTTGAATCAAGCCCGTTTAGATTAATTTAAACGGTGGTTAAGCTCAGAATAGGAAGCAAGTCTCTAGATTCATTCAACAACCAAACTAAAAGTTTTCAACCTTAATAGAATGATATTGTTTATAACTACATATTTTGTGCACAATATTTAAGTTAACTGATTTACAAGAGATATAAGAGTGTTATTTAATTTTGACTTATCCACCGTTTAAGCACCGTGGATCAGGAGGTTTCCTGTTTCGCTGAAGCATTAGCCTGCACTCAGGTGGTGCTGGCCAAGCTTGGAGACCCCCTGGGCGCGATTTGTTGATTGATTGATCTTGCCGAACCAATCAGATGTCTAGAGTCAGATTTTGACCCAAGACATGTGATTGGTTTATCAGCAAACATCAATAAACGTTTGCCGTATTCTATTTACACTGTTCAACAAGTGAATGTATTTCGAACAAAAAGTAATTCTTCGTGGAAAAGTTTATGAAGAAAATTTGTTGGTTGTCGTCTCAGATGAAGTTCATGTTATTCCTAAACAATTAGGTCAAATAGCGTCATGGCAGACATATTAATATCACGCTTAGATGATGACAGATAATGTGATGATTCTGTATATGTCGAGTAATTGAGCGGAATTGTGTCGTGTGTATGTGATCGTGTTATGCTGTATGCTGTACTCTGTATGTTCAGCTGTTTGCATGTAGTCTGTTTTAAAATTATGTAGCCCCTATTGTGGAATTCATGAATATTTATGAACATTCAGTAGCGGCAAGGTATTTGGGCTACATATATTATATATTTATGTAAATATACGCAATGTTTGTTCAAATACAGATACAGAACGTTCTCTTTAATCAAACTTAAAAGTACTAATTTATTAACAGTCATTACTGCTGCTTGTTTTTAGAATTTGTGACTTGAAACTGTTTAGATGTTTTGAATAGACGGGCCTTCCGAATGTCATCTGTAGTTTCGAGATACATTGTCTCCAAAATATACAACCCATACGCCAGTTCATTCGAAATCTTCCCAGAGAAAATATTATGTTTTCCTTTTCGGAATACAGCAACGTAAAAGGCCAGTTTACACGGACGATTTTTGCAGCGATATTAGGGCGATTTTCTTCTTCTGATCGACGTGAAGGTGTGGATGAGTTATAAATGTTCCAGGTTATGAAATTTCATAACAACGTCATTAAGTAATCTACTCCTTCGTATCTTCCAAAAGGAGAAAATCGCAACTAAAATCGCAGCAAAAATCGACCGTGTGAACGGGCCTTAACATTGGCAAACACGACAAAATTGATCAAGGGAATATGTTATTGTTGAATGCGTACTGGACTACACCCTTCAAACCAGAAGTGTGAATTAAACATTAATAAATTACGTCATGGAAATGAAATTCGACAGGTCGCGCCCATGAGCTATAAATATATGGAGAGCGCAACTATAGATACAGAAATTGAAGCCGGAAGTCGCGCGCGGCCGCCATCTTACTGTGACCACCTTGAGGAGTGAGCTGTTGTGATTAATACGGTATTTTCAACTGTTTTATTCTGTTATCTCGCAATAGAGGAACAAATCAAGTCAAATATGGTATTTTAAGCAAAAGCACATGTTCAAGAATGTTGGGGACCTCTTTCACATTCAAATGAACTCAATCGTAAAGAAACGTGTCTATATTTTTGACGACGTTTCTGAGTGCGACTGAGATGAA